GCCGGCACAGGCGCACGGTCACGAAGGCCAGCACGGAGAAGAGGAAGAGCGACGACACGCAGGCCAAGGCCACCACCAGGTAGACGGTGAGGAGGTCATCGGGAGGCGCGTCGGGCGGCGCGTCGGGCAGTGGCAGGAAGGGCTGCGAGAAGCCATCCACCAGCAGCATGTGCAGCGTGACGCTGGCCGACAGTGGCGGCTCGCCATTGTCCCTGACCAGCACCAGCAGCCTGTGCTTGGGCGCGTCGCGTTCGCTGAGCGGCCGCGCAGTGCGCACCTCGCCATTGTGCGCCCACACGCTGAAGAGCCCGGGCTCCGTGGCCTTGAGCAGCTGGAAAGACAGCCAGGCGTTCTGGCCCGAGTCTCCATCCACCGCCACCACCTTGGTTACCAGGTAGCCCGCCTCTGCCGCCCTGGGCACCAGCTCGCTGCAGGGCGCCGACGCGTTCTGCAGCGGGTACAGCACGAAGGGCGCGTTGTCATTGCGGTCCAGCACCAGCACGCGCACCCGCGCCTGGCTGCTGAGCGCGGGCGAGCCGCGGTCCCACGCGCCCACGCCGAACTCGAAGGCGCGCACGGCCTCGAAGTCCAGCGAGCGCAGCGCGAACAGCTGCCCGTTGTCGGCGTTGATGGACACCAGCGAGGCGAGTGGCAGCTGTGGGTCTTGGGAAGGCAGCAGCGAGTAGGTCACCTGGGCGTTGCTGCCCGCGTCAGGGTCAGTGGCGCTCACGCTGCCTATGTGCAGTGCAGGGCTGTTGTTCTCGCCCACCAGCAGGGTGTAAGAGGGCTGGCTGAAGGCGGGGGCGTTGTCGTTCACATCGGAAACTAGCACTGTGATGGTGTGCTTTGTTTGCAGCCTGGGGGTGCCCATGTCTGTCACCGTGATGGTGATGTTGTACTCTGCCTGGCTCTCTCGGTCCAGTGCTGTGTTTGTCAATAGAGTGTAAAAATTCTCAACGGATGGTTTAAGAAAGAAAGGAATATCGTCTTGGATGGAACATACAGTTCTTCCATTATAACCGGAGTCAGGATCTGAAACACTGAACACAGCAATTATGGTCTCCTGCAAGTTTTCTGGTATCTCAGTATTAAGTGTTGATATGGTCAGTTCCGGGGGGTTGTCATTCAGGTCCATCACTTGAACAAACACTATACAACTTCCAGAAAGTCCCCCACCATCTATGGCCTGAATATTTACTGTATAACTCTTAATGAATTCAAAATCCAGTTCCTGTATTAAAAGAAGTTCTCCTGATTTTGCATTTATTCTAAAAGTTTTGCGAATGTCTTCAGAGGCTTGAAATAATACGTAAGATATTTCTCCATACACTCCCAAATCCAAATCCCTAGCAGAAACAATGGCAACCTGGGATCCAATGGGGCTGTTTTCTGGGATCTGCACCTCATAGAGCAGTTTTGCAAACTCGGGGGCGTTATCATTGATGTCCAAAATTTCAACTCGGACCAGAGCAGTGCCAGACCTGGGGGGTGAACCGCCATCGATCGCAGTGAGTATTAATCTGATTTCAGGCTGATGTTCTCGATCTAATGCTTTGTCCAGCACCAATTGTGGTAAAATTATGCCATCAGGACTTTCTTGTAATTTAAGATGAAAGTAGGAATTGGGGCTGACTGTATAACTTTTGAGACTGTTGTTTCCTACATCTAAGTCCTGTGCATGTTCCATTAAGAAAGTAGTTCCGGGTGAGATACTTTCGGATATTTTCAAAGTTATTTCTTGGTCTAGGAAAACTGGAGAATGATCATTTATATCCATAACCTGTAGCTCGGCTTGAAAAAACTGCAAGGGATTTTCCAACAACACCTGGAAAGGTAGTACACAGGGCTCAATCCGGCCACACAGTTCCTCCCGGTCCAGTTTCTCATTTAACAACAAATCCCCAGTCTGTGAATCCAATTGCAAACGCATTTTTTTCCCTTTGGAAACGACATGGGGGGCCCGTGCAGTTATATCATCTGCCTCCAACCCCAGATCTTTTAACAAATTGGTCACAAAGGAACCACTCTCCATCTCCTCAGTCACTAAATAAAGCCTACGCTGAGAACCAGCATGAGCTATGCCCAGACAAAGAAAGAGTATCAGGACTTGCCTTTGTTTCCGAAAGCATTCCTTTTCCTCTCCAGCCTCCATCGCCTTGGGGTCTGCAGCAAACCGGATCTGTTTGTTCTGATGTGGTCACTGACTGTGTGTCCCAAAATTTTGCAGAATACAAAATATGTGGAGTTGCCTAAGACCTTGATTTCCTGGGGTGACCGGTTTAAAAAGACTCCCCTTCCTGCCAGAATTCCCTCCCCCTCCCCCCCCAACAGAGCATCCGTTTAAAGAAGCCTAGGCGGGTTCCTTCCTTCAACTTCTAAGGCTGCAGCGCCACCCTGCGTTCTTTCCCAGTGCTTAGGGTTTTTTTCCCCCTCCAAACTAGGAAAAATCTTGTCCTTGTCCTTTCAGACAGATGACAATCTAAACGGAATACTTGCAAACTTGCAAATAGTGTTACTCAATATACCAAAGCCTTATCTGTGTTTTGAAAGTGTTTTTATTGCATCTATTACCATGTAGCAAGCATGAACAATTCTCCATTCCTGTTTACAGTTTTTAAACTTGAACAAAAAAGCACCCACTGAAATGGGAAGTGGAAACAGATAACTCCAGTCCTTTGCTGAAAGGTTTGATTTGGCAATTCCCAGTGTTTCTTTCAGTCGTGGGCTAACATACTTCTGGGTGATGATTAGATTGTCATCCTCACAATCAAGCCCAATAGAAAAGAGCAGACACCCAGGAATGGGACAGAATTCAAAGGAGAAATTTCTTGTGGATACTGATATATTCTCTTATAGTCATCTGTTGCACGGTTTCACTCTGCATTTCCCATAAATTTGATGTTTCTGGACTGCATGAAAACCTCTCAATGTAGCTGAGCAATTTTTTATTTTGAATATGCATAATGTTGGCTGCGTGCAAGGCAAATGCCCTACAGCTGTGCTATCTCCTGGCAAGCTACCCGTGACCTGTTCGATATGCCAAACACAGTAACAACAAGTCTCATGATGGAGACATTACTGGGCCCGCTCGAGCAAAACGATGAACAATGGGAGGACCTTGACGGTGACGGTGAATATGCTAATATCTTTTTAAACATAAGAGTTTGTTTTTGCAAAATCTCAATTCAATGATCTCATCTCTAATGCTAACATTTCATAGTAATAAATACCTAGTAAATATCAGTATTTCCCCAGTTATCTTTTAAATGCCCTTCCCAGGATGGGGATATAAACTGAGAACATGATTTGCATGCATGAGGTCATGTTCAATCCCCTACACTACAGGATTCCCTGAGCATTGCCAGGATTGACCCCCAAGCATTAAGTGGAAGTCCTCTAGTCATACTGGATGTGACCCAACGGTTTTTAAATACCTTTATAAAGATAATTTGTTATTTACAAGCAAGATATCTTTTTTAAGTTTTTAGATATCTGTTGTTTTGTATTTAAAGTATATATTTGCTAAAATAAATCTGCTATTAAGTGACAAAAAAACCCACACAGGAAATTTAAATGCATGTTGTCCTCCTGTTGTTCATCGATTTGCTCGAGTGGGCCCAGTAACGTCTCCACTGTGAGACTTCTTGTTACTGTGTTTGGCATATTGAATACTCGCCGTAGCTCCGAGAGGGGCGGAGGAATCGAACCCGGCTCTGCCGCGTTGGCTGCGTGCCAGGCAAACGCCCTGCCGCTGTGCTATTACTTATTGAAATTACTTAAGTGAAAATAATCACTCTGTAAAGGCTATAAGATAAAACTATAATTTCTAATAATATAAAATACTATAATTTTATAAACACTATAATTTTATAACAACTAAATGACATTCTGGAAAAGGCAAAACTACAGATACATTAAAAATAATTTTCCTAGAAGAGTAATGGAAGAAAGAATGAAGAGGTAAAACCGTTTTTGTTTATAGAAAATTATCATTGTCTATTAATATATTCTGTTACATTAAAAGGAAAAAATGCTGACAAGGTATCACAGTAAGTTCTAGTCTGACTTGAATATATTTTAAAGTTTCTCTGTTTACCTTTCATATAAATAATAAAAGATAGATATTGGACACATTTAGATAGATATGGATATGTATTATTTCATATTTATGATGTTTTCCATGAATCTCAAATTTTATTTCAAACACGCACATGCACTGACCTTGCCTTCCATAGTGATTCAGATGACAATATGGAGGAGCTTAATTCTGAAATCACAACTGTTACTACTGGTGGACAATATCATAAAAATTCTGTGACCTTTTAGGAAACAAACCATACTAAAACTATGTATAAGTATTAGATAACCTAGCAGATTATTAAATTTTTACTAAGCTCCGATTAAAATTTCTTCCAAAAAGAAATCAAAACTAGTTTCTTAAATAGTAAATAGAAAAATAACAAATAAAAAGATTAGAGATGTACAGAAGACAAGGATACATTTGGGGGATGATGAGAATAATATGAGAAGATAATCTGAGAAGATAAATCCTAGTTCCCATAATTTTTCAAACGTTAATATAAAAAGGTAAAGGTAAAGGTAAAGGCCCTCCCGTTGATCGTCGATTTGCTCGAGCGGGCCCAGTAACGTCTCCATTGGAGACTTTGCTGTTACTGTGTCTGGCATATCGAATACTCTTGGTAGCTTGCTGGGCTCTCTGAGAGGGGCGGAGGAATCGAACTCGGGTCGGCCATGTTGGCCGCGTGTAAGGCGAACGCCCTACCCGCTGTGCTATCGCTCCAGCCATATATATATAAAACAGAAAATAAGGTAAAGTATTAAAATTTCTGAAAACTAAATAATATGCAACTATTAAAAACTATTTCTACAAAGCAATAGCATCGTTCAACACCAAAATTGAATCCCTAATTAAACTCAAAGTCATGCAGAATTGTGTAATTTTCCTTCCATTAAGTACCCTGGGAAAGCGGTTGGGGATAACAGGTTGAAGAAACTTGACCCCAATAAGAATTTATGAAGGAAGTAAATACCTTTAAAGAGATGTTTCTTTTACTAATTAAATCCAAAGCTATTGCGGAGAGTGGGGGTTTCCTCACTATTGTTCCCAGTAACGTGATTCTGGAAATCTGGCAAGATAGGCTTGAGGAACTTGAACTCATTAGTGCCAGCGCCCGCCGCCAGACACACCTCATACTGGTAACTGTGCGACAGGGTCCCAGTGCCACTGACGTCCAGCAGGTGTCTTGGGAAATGCGCGTCGGGCAGCGGGTAGGGAACCCCCGCAGGCGGGCCGGCCCGCCGGCACAGGCGCACCACCACGAAGACCAGTACGGAGAAGAGGAAGAGCGACGACACGCAGGCCAAGGCCACCACCAGGTAGACGGTGAGGCGGTCATCGGGAGGCGCGTCGGGCGGCGCGTCGGGCAGCGGCAGGAAGGGCTGCGAGAAGCCGTCCACCAGCAGCACGTGCAGCGTGACGCTGGCTGACAGTGGCGGCTCGCCATTGTCCCTGACCAGCACCAGCAGCCTGTGCTTGGGCGCGTCGCGCTCGCTGAGCGGCCGCGCAGTGCGCACCTCGCCATTGTGCGCCCACACGCTGAAGAGCCCGGGCTCCGTGGCCTTGAGCAGCTGGAAAGACAGCCAGGCGTTCTGGCCCGAGTCGCTGTCCACCGCCATCACCTTGGTCACCAGGTAGCCCGCCTCTGCCGCCCTGGGCACCAGCTCGCTGCAGGGCGCCGACGCATTCTGCAGCGGGTACAGCACGAAGGGCGCGTTGTCATTGCGGTCCAGCACCAGCACGCGCACCCGCGCCTGGCTGCTGAGCGCGGGCGAGCCGCGGTCCCACGCGCCCACGCCGAACTCGAAGGCGCGCACGGCCTCGAAGTCCAGCGAGCGCAGCGCGAACAGCTGCCCGTTGTCGGCGTTGATGGACACCAGCGAGGCGAGTGGCAGCTGTGGGTCTTGGGAAGGCAGCAGCGAGTAGGTCACCTGGGCGTTGCTGCCCGCGTCGGGATCACTGGCGCTCACGCTGCCTATGTGCAGTGCGGGGCTGTTGTTCTCGCCCACCAGCAGGGTGTAGGAGGGCTGGCTGAAGGCGGGGGCGTTGTCATTCACGTCGGACACCAGTACTGTGATAGTGTGTTGTGTTTGCAGCCTGGGGGTTCCCATGTCTGTCACCGTGATGGTGATGTTGTACTCTGCCTGGCTCTCTCTGTCTAGCGCGTCTTCTGTGACCAACTTGTAGAAATTTTCAACAGATGGTTTCAATGTGAACGGAACATCTTCCTGGATGAAACAAATCATCCTTCCATTGTCTCCCGAGTCTCGATCTCGAATCCTAAAGAGGGCAACTTCTATTTCAGGAGCATTTTCAGGAATGGGGTTGCTAAATGATGAGACAGTTAGTTCTGGGGCATTATCATTAACATCCAACACCTCAATGGAGATAGAGCATTTTCCAGAAAGTCCTCCACCATCAGAAGCATCAATATCTAGTTCATATGAGGGTATTGCCTCAAAATCAAGTTTTTTCCGTAAGCGAACTTCTCCTGAAATCCTGTTTAACTCAAAAGTTGTGCTTGTATCCTGAGAACTATAAGAAAGGGAATATGATATTTCTCCATTTGTCCCAGTGTCTAAATCCCTAGCAGAGACCTTGACAACTAGAGAACCCACAGGGCTGTTCTCTGGAATCTGCACCTGGTAAAGCTTCTGTGCAAAGTCAGGAACGTTGTCATTGACATCTAAGACCACAATTAGAATTTGGGCAGTGCCAGATCTGGGTGGAGAGCCTCCATCCAGAGCTGTGAGGGTTAGTCTGAGCTCCTCCTGCTGCTCCCGATCTAGCTCTTTGTCCAGCACCAGCTCAGGGTATTTACTACCATCTCCTCTGTTGCGGGTAGAAATATGGAAATGAGAGTTGGGACTGATGATGTAGTTTTGAATGTTATTGTTGCCCACATCCAAGTCTTGGGCTTTATTCAGAGAAAAGACTGTCCCGGGAGGTCTGTTTTCTGGGATTTTCAGTGTCATTTTTTGTTCAGAAAACTCGGGAGAATGATCATTTATGTCTTTCACCAGTAGCTCAGCTCGAAATACTCTTAATGGTCTTTTCAGTAACACTTGGAAATGCATTACGCATGGGTCACTGAAGCCGCACATTTCTTCCCGGTCTAGTTTCTCATTTAATAACAACTCTCCAGTCTGCAGATCAAGCTGCAAGTGGGGTTTATTATCCTCAGAGACTACCTGGGCTCCCCTTGCAGCCAGCTCCCCCACTCCCATCCCCAGGTTCTCTGCAAGATTGGCCACAAAGGACCCACTCTCCATTTCCTCCATCACGGAATAACGACGGGATTCCCAGCCTGCTAGAGCCATTCCCAGCAAGAGAGAAAGAATCAGGACTTGCCTTTGTTTACAAAGCGTTCAGCTGCAGCTCCCATCTTGACTACTGCAAAGGACTGGTCCGGAGCAGGGCCCAAGGAACTGAAATAATGATGGGACTCTCACTTTATAACCTGTCCGAAAATGTCTGTGAGTAGCATTTGCTGGAGATTTTTTGGTCCTAAGCTCTGCTTACTGGCTTTCAGACTTCCTAGCGTTTACTAGACTAAATTTTGACATCTTAGCCTGCAGCGCCACCATGCGATGTTTTATAAAAGAATTGCTACAATTCTCTCTAGTAATTGAGCTGTATAGTTGGTTTGAAAATTATTTGAAGAAGATGATATAATTAAAAAATTCCAATTATAATAATTCATTTAAAGAATTATTATTAATACAAATGTACCTAGTTTATGAAATTCATCAGTACACAATCTAGGCATATTGCCCACATTCTAAAAACTATATTCTATATGTGGTATTAAAAGAACTGAGAAGTGAGAGACTTAATAGTTGTAGGATAACACTGTTCTGTCCTTCCTGCATAACCTCAGAAATAGTTGATAGTTTATTGGACTGAGGAAAAGAGAAAAACACCTTAAGAGGTATCCTGACCTTGAGCAGTCAGGAAGGGCTTTCTTATGTTGATTTGGCTACCTGACTGGGTGGAGTGTCAGCCCAAACTAGAAGGGAGCTGGAGAAGGAGAGAGCAGGGCTGAAAGATGGACTACCAAGAGACTAGCAAGGGGAACATGTGCTTGAGAGAACCTAGGCCCTCTATAACATACGTTCTTCTTTGGGATAAACTTCCTTGTATTAAACTGCCACTAAGATCAACCGGCCTGGCCCTCGTCTCTTCCTTCGTCTGCCCTTGGCCAACAGCCGTTCCGATCCAGGCCACACACAGCGACTCTAGGGCACCGAACGCAGGAGGTGAGATAGAGCCATCCAGAGAGCCCGTGAACACACAACCTTCAGCATGCATAGTTTTTTACAAATAGTGACCTAACAAAAATAATATATGTGATTTCTTTAAATTTTTCTCAGCAAAAGCATTAATTTATTTAGATTTCTTTTAATTTTAGTTAGTCTGAGTTTCTGAGCTGTGATTACCATTGGTTGAATTATATCAAGGAAAAGGCCGTCAGTTAATTCCAGTTTATGGTGTTCTTTCTACATAAGATCAGAGAGTTAGCAACACTGGTCCTCCTGTTTCTCTTACTCAGCTTTTTCTTTTTACTATTTTACTTTTCTTGATCACAACCTGATCAAGCACATACTTACATAATTAAGAGCAGCTTTTTTGTGCCATCCTTGAATTCCAGAATTTAATACTGTTCACTTATATATTTTTTTATAATCTACAAGTTCTAGAATCTAAAACAAAGTCTCTGTCACTGTCACTGTCCTCCCGTTGTTCATCAATTTGCTCAAGCAGGACCAGTAACGTCTTTATTGTGACACTTGTTACTGTGTTTGGCATATTGAGTACATCATGAGTAGCTTGCCAGGCTTTGCCGTGAGGGCGAGATACTCTCGGTAGCTTGCCGGGCTCTCCGAGAGGGTCGGAGGAATCGAACCTGGGCCGGCCAGGCCGACTGCGTGCAAGGCAAACGCCTTACATGCTAAAATATTTAGTAAATGCATCAAAGAATAAATCAATATCAACTTAAAATATGACATTTTCCTAATATAGAAGCCAGTTATAAAATAGTTGTATTTTGTTTATTTGTTTGTTTGTTTATTTGTTTTTGGGTCACACTCTGTAGTGCTCAGGACTTACTTCTGGATCTGCACTCAGGAATCAAACCTAGTAGATTCAGGGAACCATGCAGGATACCAGGGATTGAACCTGGTTGGCTGCATGCAAGGCAAGAACCTTACCTATTATACTATTACTTGTCCCTCCCCAAATAGTCGTGTTTTACTGAGATTTTATTTTTCCAACCTTCCCTATTTTTTCAGTAGGATCCTAACTCATTGTATGAGTTGAATAAACAAGGCAGTATTTTCCTAAGTAATTATTTTCTGTCCTCCCTCCCTCCCTCTCTTTCCTTCCCCACCTCTGTTTTTGGGCCACATTTGGCAGCATTAGGACTATACCTGGATTGGTGCTTTGGGGTTCCTTCTGGTGGTTGTTGAGGGACCATGTGGTGCCAATGATCATATGCAGGGCTCCCACATACAAATTATGCACTTAGCCCTTTGAACTCTCTCTCTCTCTGGCTCTCTGTACTCTTTTGAATATTATTTTGACATAATTTATAAAAAATTTTATTAAGTGACAAAGCCTCTTGCCTTCTTCATAAAAGGAGAGATTATTACAAAAAGAGATAGTTTGGGAATTGGGGAGATCAAACCAGGATTAGATCTCCAGCACCTGTAAGACTCTTAGCATTGATCAGTGCAATCCTGGAGACTACGAAGCACCAGCAGGGTGACCCTTGTGGTCTCTAGCACCACAGGGCGTGAGCAGCACTATACTCTTGGGCTCTAGCACTGAACTACCATTGCATTTGGCTGAGTGCTGCCAGGTGTGGCCCCCAAAATCCCAAAGCACTGCTTAAGAGACTCCCCTAGAAAAAACAAAATTAAAATACCATAAAAGGGAGAATATAACAAGGGTATAATAGTCCTAACAATATAGCATATATTAAAACATTTTATACTATTAATTATATTTTACACTATTGCTAGTGTGACACTAATGACAGTGAAAAGACTTTATTATGGGGCTGGAGAGATAGTACAGAGGGTAGGGCACTTGCCTTTCATACAGCCAATGTGGGTTCAATCCCTGACATTCCATATGATCTCCTGAGCACTGCCAGAAGTATGGTTCCTAAGTGCAGACCCAGGAATAACCCCTGAGCATTTCCAGGTGTGGATATTTTCTTTTTTTCTTTTTTAATTTTTTTAATGTAGGAGTACTGCTATTTATTCAGCCATTGATTAGGCTGATTGAACTGTGCATGAACTCCACCTTACTTTTTTTCCATTTTTTATAATTTTATTTATTGAATCACCATGAGAGCAGTTACAAAGCTTTCAGGTTTAAGTCTCAGTCATACAATTAAACACTCGTACCTTCACCAGTGCCCATTCTCCACCATCAAAAACCCCAGTATACCCACATCCCACACCCTCCCCCTACCTGTGGGGCAGATGATTTTCAAATTACTCTCTCTCGACTTTAATTACATTCAATACTTCTACAGCAGGCCCACCATTATTATTTGGGATTTTACCCCAACACTAAGATCTGCCGAAAAGGCAATAGTAAACAATTTATTTTCTATTGCTGGTTATGAATAACACATGATGTCATGCAGCTGCAGTAGTGGCCGCGCAATTTTGAAATTTCAAAATTTTAACAAATCTGGAGGGGTTTCTGCCAAAACCTACTGGGTTCTGAGATTTGTTCCTGAGTCTCTTGGATCATGGTTGTTAAGCAGCTTGATCAGGAGCCAAAGATGTCATTTGTGGGCGATGACTCGGGTCTTGTTGGGACGGGGAGGAAAGGGCCGGCTCCACCGCATTTCATGAGGCCCCGCGTGTCTCATCACTGCGGGTCCAAACTTGACTGTCCAATGGCCTCTGGAGGATGGCAGCCACTGAACCGCTAAGGGGGAGCAAGCAGAGGGATAGTACCCTTTCCTCCCTGGGGTGGTCCGGCAACAGTAACCTACTGCGGGGTTTAGACACATTTCTGACAAAAGCTGTTGGGTTTTGAGATTTGTTTCTGGGATCATGGTCGTTAAGCAGCTTGATCAGGAGCCAGAGAGGTCATTCATTGGCAGTGACTCAGGGTGGTGACTCGGGGTCTCGCTGGGACAAGGAGGAAAGGGCCGGCTCCACCCCCATCCTGCTGTGGCCGTCACTGTGTTTCTCATCACTGTGGGCCCAAACCTGACTGTTCAGTGGCCTCTGGAGGATGACGGCCACTGGGCCAGGAGGGGGAACAGGACAAGGCACAAAACCTATTCCAACCTGAGGTGGCCCGGCACCAGTAACCTACTGGAGGGACCAGACGCATTTCAGCCAAAAACCGTTTGGTTTCGAGATTTGTTTCTGAGTCTCTGGGATCATAGCCATTAAGCAGTTTGATCAGGAACCAGAGAGGCCATGCCTCCAATTATATAGCTGAGCTGGAGGTGGTAAACTTTGACCCCAAACAATAAAATTTTAATATGAAAATCACAATTAAAAATCTCAAATTACTACAAATATTCATGCAAGAATTTTACCATTTAAAGTATATAGTTCATGGCCAAGGAAGTAGTTCAGCAGTGGAGCAACTTCTCTTGCATGTGTGAGGCCCTGCATTCAATCCCAGCATCAGGGTGAAAAACAGCAAAAAGAAACATATGTAGTATGATCTCCAGGTACAAAACCTGATGCAAAAGATGGACCACGTACAAAAGATCCATTACATTACTATATATACTGTCACTGTCACTGTCATCCCATTGTTGATCGATTTGCTCGAGTGGGCCCAGTAACATTGTGAGACTTGTTACTGTGTTTGGCATATTTAATACATCACGGGTAGCTTGCCAGGCTTTGCGGTGCGGGCGAGATACTCTTGGTAGCTTGCCGGGCTCTCCGAGAGGGGTGGAGGAATCAAACTCAGATCGGCCATGTTGGCTGCGTGCAAGGGAAACGTCCTATCTGCTGTGCTATTGCTCCAGCTCACATTGCTATATATAAGCAATACATTACTTATATACATTATATAAGTTATACATTATACATTATATAATGTATTACATATAATACATTACTTATGTACGTTATATAAGTAATGACAAAGAAGAAATAATTCATTTACAATTGCATCCAAAAAGTCAAGTACCTAGAATCAATAAAGGTTGTGAAAGGCATTCATTTAAAAAATTATGTCACTACTGGATGAAATATGACAAAACAAAACGTATTCCACACTCCTGGATTAGAAAAACTATCATTAAAATGAGATGTCTACCAAAAGCATTCAATACATCCCGAGGATGCAAAAAAGCACAGTAGAAATGACATCTGTAACTATATGTTCATTGCA